TGTACCCCCTATGGGATACCCCACTATAGCCTACAAAAATATATAAGCTATAATGTTCTGACACACCCCCATAGGCAAAGTGGGGGAGAACAAGGGGTCACAAGACCAGTCAAGCAAAACAAAGCAAAGCTCAGGGTGGATCACAAAGTCACCACACATTCGGAGCACAAATTCAAAGGCCAGAAGGCAAGTTCACATGCAAGATCACATATATATATATACAAGAGGCTAAGCAAGCAAGAGCAAGAGTATAAATATGTGACAGTGCAAGCAAGGTCAAGAAGTGAGCAAGTGAGGCAAGACAGGCACAAGACCCAGCTGAGTGCAGAAGCGCTGATGATCACAAGGCGCAAGTGCCTTGGTGAAGACATCAGCAGTGTTGGCCTGAGAGGCCACGTACGCAAGCCGCAACTGTCCACGCTGCTGTAGCTCATGAGCAAGAAAGTAGCGGAGAGCAATGTGCTTTGTTCTGTGCTCCAGTCGCTGCTCTCGACACAAGGCCAGCATGGCCTTGTTGTCTACGTACAGGACTGGAGGAGAACGAGGCGGCTCTCCAAGGTCAGTCAGCAGGTAGGTGAGCCAGCGAAGCTCCTGGGCAGCCATAGCCCCGGCGTAGATCTCAGCCTCACAACTGTAGCCGAGAACAGACGTCGAGCGGGTAGCCCGCCAAGAAACAGAGCCGGAACCAAGACTGAAGGAGTAACCCTGTGACGACCGCTGCGTAGCATGGTCGTCAGCCCAAGAGGTGTCCGCGTGCCCAGTGAGGACCACTGGACTCCGCCCTCCAAGCACTAGCCCCATGCCCGACGTACTGCACAAGTAGCGCAACACCCTCTTCGCTGCAGCCATGTGCTCTGGTCGGTGTCTCCCAGGAGCAACATAGCGTGCGAGAATGCTAAGAGGGTATGCAAGGTCAGGTCGTGTGCAGGTCATCAGGTACATGAGGCAGCCAACAAGCTCTGGATACGGGCCACTCGACTCTACGGACTCATCCGAAGGCAGAGCTGAGAGCGAGTGGCGAGTAGGCAGAGGAGTGGCCTGAGGCGAGGAGTACGTGAAGCCGAAGCGCTGAAGGACCTGCTGCACCATGTGTGACTGAGTCAGGGTAATGGTGCGGCGTGCTCTGTCCCGGGTGATCTGCAAGCCAAGGTAGCTGCGCAGTTCACCCAGGTCTGTGCATGTGTGTCTCTTCTGCAGCTCGGACTTCACGCAGGCGAGTCCAGCAGTGTCAGCTGTGGCAAAGACCAAGTCGTCGACGTACACGAGGATGTAGAACGGCGGCAGAGAGGTGTCGGTGCGCAGAAACAGCGACGGGTCGGCAGTAGAAGGAGCAAACCCAAGAGCCGCAAGTGTAGTCCTCAGTGTGTCGTGCCACTCACGTTGCGCCTAGCGGAGACCGTAGATTGGACGCCGGAGACTCCACTGGGTTCAAGGAGGGAACGACCCAGTGAAGCCAGGTGGGCGGCGCAGCCAGATCTCCTCGTGTAGGCTGCCCTACAAGAAAGCAGTGCTGAAGTCGAGAGAGTGCAGCTCGTAGTGACGGTGAGCAGCAACGTGCAGCAGTACCCGAAGAGTGGTCATCCTCGGGGTAGGGGAGAAGGTCTGAAATTAGTCAACTCCCTGCCGCTGACTGAAGCCACGAGCCACGTAACGCGCCTTGAAGACAGGCGGAGAACCCGGCGGCCGCTTCACCCTGAAGATCCACATGCCACTGACGATGTTCGCCCCAAGAGGGGAGACAGCGTCAACGTAGGTGCCTGTGTACTTCCAGGAAGCCATCTCTGCATCCATAGCTGCCTGCCACTAAGAGGAGTAGGGACCCTCTATCGCCTCCGCGTAAGAGCGCGGAGTCGGGATGTCAAGTGCATCCGGGTCTCCCTCAGGGGTAAGCAGTACGGACACGAGATGAGGTGAAGCAGCGGCCAGACACTGGAACTCCTCCTGCCTGTCCTCAAGGACGTCCGTGCCAAGGGCACACTCACCCCCGACGGATGGAGGACAGACAGACTCAGACTCAGCGACGAGACTAGCAGCGTAGTCTAGGCGACAGCGAGCAGCAAAGTCGACGAGCTCAGTAACAAGGGCAGACGCAGCAGTAGACTCGAAAGAAGGGTCACTGACGGCAGTAGCAAGGAGACGCGTGACAGTAGGACTGGCAGCACGAAGAGAGTCCGACTCCGGGTCGGCAAGAGCAGGAAGAGAGGACTCAGGAGGAGAAGGCAAAGGGGCATGCAGAGGAGCAGTGGACGGACGCAGAGACATCCGGTGCGTGACAGGGACAGGAGGAGGACACTGACGCGAACCGCGACCACTAGCGCGCGTAGCACGAACAGGCGACGCTGGACGAGACGCAAGCTCACGACGCTTAGTAAGACCTCCAGTAGGACCAGCGTAGGGAGAAGGAGCAGGCAAAGGGGAGGCAGGCTGTAGCTGTGACTGTGACTCGGCAGGCTGTGGACCCTCTAAGGGAGGAGGAGGAGGACCAGTAGAAGGTGTAAGACCAAGAACCTGCTGCAGGAGTGGAACGAAGTACGGTCGAGGCCGCGTGGCGACGCCAGAAACAGCAGGGACAGCACCAGGACCCCTAGCAGGAGTACTCACTCCAGCAGCACCTCCAGCAGCTCCAGCACCTCCAGCAGAACCTCCAGCAGCTCCAGAAACCCCAGCAGCACCTCCAGCAGCTCCTGAACCTCCAGCAGCACCAGGAGCACCCACAGCAGGACCGCCAGTGGTAGTCTCAGCGCCAAAACTCTCAGCAGCACCAGCTCCAGTCAAACCTGCAGGCCCAGCAGCTCCAGTACTCCCAGGACGAGCACCTCCGGGACCCGCGACAGCAGCACCCTCAGTAGCCGACAAACCTCCAGCACCAGCAGCACGGCTCCAGCGGCAGGCAAACCACTCGCGCAGCTCCTGTGGAGAAAGTGGCTCCCGGCGACACGAAGCACCCGGAGAACCTCCAGGCGGAGCACCTCCAGGCACAGCACCCCCTGGTCCAGCACCCCAAGGCAAAGCACCTCCAGGCTCAGCACCCCCAGGGCCATCACCCCCAGGCCCAGCACCCCCAGGCCCAGTACCCCCAGGCTCAGCACCCTCAGCAGCACCAGAGTCACCAGTGACCTCGACAGGCTCGACTACGTCTACCTGGGACACACCTGAAGGGGCAGGACCCTGAGGGGGGAGTGGGTCTACCTGGGGGGGACCTGGTACAAGGAAGAGCGGGGGCGGGGGGAGGGACGGAGTGCGGTAGGGGAAGAGGCGGTAGTAGGGCACCGACTTGTCAAACGTGACGTCCTGGGAGGACAGAACACGGCGAGAGGTGGGGTGGTAGAACTGCCACCCAGGCGCGTCAGGGGGGAACCCCAGGAAGACGCAAGGAGTAGCACGAGGGGACAGTTTGTCCGCAGACAAGTCGCGGACAAACGCCCGAGATCCCCTGACCCGGAACGCCGACGGATCGCCAACCTTCCCCGTCCACAGAAAGGCTGGGGAGGTCTCCGGCCTGGAGACCCTGGGGTGAAGGTTGATCTGATGCGCCGCGTACCTGACCGCAAACGGCCACAGAAAATGGGGGGCAGCCGCATGCATCATAGACGTACGAGCGACGTCCATGACCATGCCAATGCGGCGCTCAGCAATCCCATTTTGCTGCGGAGAGTCCGGAAGCGTGAAGGTCTGTCGGATGCCCCGTGCGCGACAGTAGGCTCTTAGAAGGCCAGAGGAAAACTCTCAGCCTCTGTCCGAGTGCAGACGCAGAACAGGAAAGTCCGAGCCAAAGCTCTGCCTGAGCTGGAGACGAGCTGCGCGGATCCAGTCGATCAGCACCTCAGTGATATCACCCTTGCTGCGCAAGGGGAAGACTGCGGTGTAACGCGAGTAGTCGTCAACAACTAGCAGGAAGTAGCGCTCGTGACCCTGTCCACAGACGCGGGCTGGGCCCCACACGTCTATGTGAATCGTCTGCAACGGGGCCTCTGTCGGAGGAAACTGGGAGGAGTGAGGGGCAGCACGCTGGCGCCCGTCGACACAGGGGACACAGGTAGGGCCAGGGCCCTGAGGAAGGGGAGGGAGGGACTGGGGGAGACCAGAAACAAGAAGACGAGAGGCCATGCCTCTGAGCCGAAGCAGAGAGGGGTGACCAAGGCGGTGGTGCCAGAGGAGAGTCTCGTGAGACAGGAGACGACACGAATAGGGGGCAGAGTCAGGACCAGACCTGGACGCTGCAGCAAACACCTGACCCGACGCAGCTACCCTACCAGACTCAGTAACTGGAGGAGACGCAGTGGTCAGTGTGTACAGGCTCGACCCCGGCCGACAAGTAAACGTGGCCAGGTGTCGGCCTGTCCGAGCGTCTGTGCAGTGGGTCACCCGCTGACTTGCAGGAGTGAACTGGTGAACCCCCGCATCCTGCAGGTCAGCACCACTCACCAAGTTCGTAGAGAACGAGGGGAGGTAAAGACCAGACAGGGTGCCAGAGGGGGCCGCCGCACACGGGAGGACAGTGGAGAAGTGAGCAAGGACAGGGCCCCCAGAGGGGTCTGCCAGAGAGACTGCAATTGGCCGACCAAGCGGCGTGAGGGTGGTGCGGTCTCGAAAGAAGGAGCGGGAAGCCCCCGAGTCAAGGGTGAAGGTGTGAGAGGCCGGAGCCGACGCGGTACCTGAGAGAGCAGACTCACCCGCACCTGAGGAAGCAGACTCACTAGCACCTAGAGCAGCAGTCGCACCTGTACCTGGAGCAGGAGACACACTAGCACCCAGAGCAGCAGCCGCACCAGCAGCTAGAGAAGCAGGCTCTATACCTGGTCAGGCGGTACGCACAGGTGACCGTCACGGTCAGCACTAGTAGGCAATGCATACATGGCAGTGAGAATAGCATCATAATCAAGAGCAAATATATCTACCCTGCGCCTAAGCAACTCCACCCAGTCGGGGAGCTCAGCCTCGTCGCCAAACTCGGTACACCAAGCAAGTTCAGACGGGCGAAGCAGCGGGAGGGTGTATGACTAGGCGTCCCACAAGGCTGACCAGTCCGAGCACCAGTGCGAATCACGTAAGAGCAGCGAACAGAACTGAGAGACCCTCTACTCTGAGCGTACCACTCACGAAGCTGCTAGGGCGTGAGAGACGCACAAGGGCGTCGCTGGAGCTGCATCTGGCCGCCGCCAGTAGAAGAAGGAGCAGGAGTAGCAGCAGTAAGGCAGGCAGCCAAGCAAGCTGCATGCAGCGCGCTAGTAAGGCAGGGGCTCACCAGTGGTGGGAAGAGCAGGCTCGACGACTCGGCGACTCGGCGGCACGGCGGCACTGCAGCAGCTGCGGCTCGGCGGCTCGGGCGACCCGGGCGGCTCGGCTGCTCAGGCGACTCGGGCGGCTCGGCGGCTCGGCTGCTCGGGTGGCTCGGGCGGCTCGGGCGGCTCGGGCGGCTCGGGCGGCTCGGGCGGCTCAGGCGGCTCGGCTGCTCTGCGGCTCGGCTGCTGGGCTGCTCAGCGCCTCGGCTACGGCTCGGCTGCTGGGCTGCTCGGCAGCTCGGTGGGGGGGGCGGCTCGGCAATGCAGCAGGCGACGGGCCGGGGCAGCTGCACGGGGCCGGGACGGGCGGTGCACGGGCGGTGCACTAAGACCTAGCACAGTACAGAAGCGTTGATGATCACAAGGCGGAAGGGCCTTGGTGAAGATATCAGCAGTGTTGGCCTCAGAGGCCACGTAGGTGAGGCGGAGCTGACCACGCTGCTGCAGCTCACGAGACAGGAAGTAGCGGAGAGCAATGTGCTTCGTTCTGTGCTCCAGTATGTGCTCCCGACACAAGGCCAGCTTGGCCTTGTTGTCTACGTACAGAACTGGAGAAGAACGAGGCGGCTCTCCAAGGTCAGTCAGCAGGTAGGTGAGCCAGCGTAGCTCCTGTGCAGCCATGGCCCCTGCGTAGATCTCAGCCTCACAGCTGGAGCCGAGAACAGAGGACGAGCGGGTAGACCACCACAAAACAGAGCCGGAGCCAAGGCTGAAGGTGTAACCCTGTGACGACCGCTGCGTAGCCTGGTCGTCAGCCCAAGAAGCGTCAGCGTGACCTCTGAGGACTACTCGACGTCGCCCTCCAAGCACTAGCCCCATGCCCGACGTACTGCACAAGTAGCGCAACACCCTCTTCGCTGCAGCCATGTGCTCTGGTCGGTGTCTCCCAGGAGCAACATAGCGTGCCAAGATGCTAAGACGGTATGCAAGGTCAGGTCGAGTGCAGGTCATCAGGTACATGAGGCAGCCAACAAGCTCTGGGTACGGGCCACTCGACTCTACGGACTCATCTGAAGGTAGAGCTGAGAGCGAGTGGCAAGTAGACAGAGGAGTGGCCTGAGGCGAGGAGTACGTGAAGCCGAAGCGCTGAAGGACCTGCTGTACCATGTGTGACTGAGTCAGAGTAATGGTGCGCTGTGCTCTGTCCCGGGTGATCCGCATGCCAAAGTAGCTGCGCAGTTCACCCAGGTCTGTGCACGTGTGTCTCTTCTGCAGCGCAGACTTCACGTGGGGGAGTCCAGCAGTGTCAGTAGTGGCAAAGACCAGGTCGTCGACGTACACGAGGATGTAGAACGGCGGCAAAGAGGTGTCGGTGCGTAGAAACAGCGACGGGTCAGCTGTAGAAGGAGCAAACCCAAGAGCCGCAAGTGTAGTCCTCAGTGTGTCGTGCAACTCACGGCGCGGCCGGCGGAGACCGTAGACTGGCCGCCGGAGGCTCCAGTGGGTGCCACGAGGAAACGACCCAGTGAAGCCAGGAGGGCGGCGCAGCCAGATCTCCTCGTGCAGGCTGCCCTGCAGGAAAGCTGTGCTGAAGTCATGAGAGTGAAGCTCGTAGTCGCACTGAGCGGCTATGTGCAGCAGCACCCGAAGAGTGGTCATCTTCGGGGTGGAAGAGAAGGTCTGAAAGTAGTCAACTCCCTGCCGTTGACTGTAGTCTCGAGCCATGTAACGCGCCTTGAAGACAGGCGGAGAGCCCGGCGGCCGCTTCACCCTTAAGATCCACATCCCACTGACGATGTTCGCCCTAGGTGGGGGAACCTCGTCGACGTAGGTGCCTGTGGACTTTCAGGAAGCCATCTCTGTGTCCATGGCCGACTGCCACTAAGAGAAGTAGGGACCCTCGATCGCCTCAGTGTACGATCGAGGAGTCGGGATGTGTTGTGCATCCGAGTCTCCCTGAGGGGCAATCAGCGTGGACACGAGATGGGGCAAAGCAGCCGCAAAGCACTGGAACTCCTTCTGCCTGTCCTCAAGGACGTCCGTGCTAAGATTACACTCACCCGCGACGGACGGAGGACAGACAGACTCAGACTCAACAACAAGACTGGCAGCGTAGTCTAGACGACAGCGAGCAGCGAAGTCGACAAGCTCAGCAACGAGAGCAGACGCAGTAGCAGACTCAAAGGAAGGGTCAGTGACGACAGTAGCAAGTATGCGCGTGACCGAAGGACTAGCAGCACGAAGGGAGTCAGACTCCGGGTCAGCAAGAGAAGGAAGAGAGGACTCTCGAGGAGACGGCAACGGGACACGCAGAGGAGCAGTGGAAGGACGCAGTGCCAACAGGTGTGTGTCAGGGACCGCAGGAGGACGTGGACGTGTAGTGCGACCACTAGTGCGAGCAGTACGAATAGGTGACGCGGGACGAGACGCAGGCTCAGGACGCTCAGCAAGACCTCCAGTAGGACCAGCGTAGGGAGAAGGAGCAGGTAGAGGGGAGGCGGGCGGTAACTGTGACTACGACTGGACAGGCTGTGGACACTCTAGGGGAGGAGCAGGACCAGTAGAGGGCGGGAGACCAAGAACCTGCTCCAGGAGCGGAACGAAGTACGGCCTTGGCCGCGCAGCGCCTCTAGAACCAGCAAGTACGGCACCAGTACCCCCAGCGGCAGCACCAGCGTCAGTAGAACCTCCAGCTCCAACAGCTCCAAGTCCAGTACCCTCAGAAGCACCAGCGCTAGCAGCACCACCAGCGCCAACACCCCCAGTAGCTCTAGATCCACCAGCACCAACTCCAGTAGGACCGTCAGCACCAGCTGCCTCAGCAGCACCCCCAGACGCACTAGCACCAGTAGAAACACCAGCGCCAACACCCCCAGACTCAGCAGCACGTCTCCAGCGGCGGGCGAACCACACGCGCAGCTCCTGTGGAGAGAGCGGCTCCCGCCTCGACGAAGTACCGCCGGCGGCCACACGAGCAGACCCAGCACCCCCAGGCTCCGCACCCTTAGACTCAGCACACCCAGGCTCAGCACCCCAAGGCTCAGTACCTCCAGTCTCAGCACCCCCAGACTCAGCACCCCCAGACCCGGCACCCGCGGACCCGGCACCCGTAGGCTCAGCACCTCTAGCAGCACCAGAGTCTACAGCTACCTCGACAGGCTCGACTGCGTCTACCTGGGACACACCTGACGGGGCAGGACCCTGAGGAGGGAGGGGGTCTACCTGAGTAGCACCTGGCGCAAGGAAGAGCGGCGGTGGGGGGAGGGGCGCAGTGCGGTAGGGGAAGAGACGGTAGTAAGGCACCGACTCGTCAAAGGTGACGTCCTGGGAGGACAGAACACGGCGCGTGGTGGGGTGGTAAAACTGCCGGCCAGGCGCGTCAGGGGGGAAGCCAAGGAAGACGCAAGGAACAGCACGGGGGGACAGCTTGTCCGCACACAAGTCGCGGACAAACGCCTGAGATCCCCAGACACGAAACGCAGACGAATCGCCAACCTTCTTTGTCCACCGCAAGGCGAGGCAGGTCTCTGGCAAGGAGACCCGGGGCTGAAGGTTGAGCTGATGCGCGGCGTACTGAACCGCAAATGGCCACAAAAAATGGGGGGCAGCCGCATGCATCATGGACGTACGTGCGACGTCCATGACCATGCCAATGCGGCGCTCAGCAATCCCATTTTGCTGTGGAGAGGCCGGAAGCGTGAAGGTCTGGCGGATGTCGTGTGCCCGACAGAAGGCTCCCAGACGGGCAGAGGAAAACTCTCCTCCTCTGTCCGAGTGTAGACGCAAAATTGGAAAGTCCGAGCCGAAACTCTCTCTGAGCTGGAGACGAGCTGCGCGGATCAAGACGATCAACACCTCAGTGACGTCACCCTTGCTGCGCAAGGGGAAGACTGTGGTGTAGCACGAGTAGTCGTCAACGACCAGCAGAAAGTACCGCTCTCTCCCCTGCCCACTGACGCGGGGTGGGCCCCACACGTCCATGTGTAGAGTCTGCAGCGGAGCCTCTGTCGATGGAAACTCGGAGGACTGAGGGGCGGCGCGCTGTCGCCCCTCGACGCAGGGGACGCAGGTAGGGCCAGGCCCCAGAGGAAGGGGAGGGAGAGACCGAGGAAGACCAAAGACAAGGACACGGGAGGCCATGCCTTGGAGACGAGGCAAGGACGGGTGACCAAGGCGGTGGTGCCAAAGGAGAGTCTGGTGGGACAGCAGACGACACGAGCAGGGGGCAGACTCAGGACCAGACCTGGACGCCGCAGCAAACACCTGACTCGACGCAGCTACCTGGGCAGACTCAGCAGTAGGAGGAGACTCAGTAGTAAGGGTGTACAGGCTCGACCCTGGCCGACGGGTGAACGTGGCCAAGTGTCGGCCTGTCCGAGCACACCTGCAGTGGGTCACTCGCTGACTCGCAGGAGTGAACTGGTCATCCCCTCGATCCTGTAGGTCCGCTCCACTCACCAAGTTCGTAGAGAACGAGGGGAGGTAGAGACCAGACAGGGTGCCAGAGGGGGCTACAGGGCACGTAAGGACAGTGGAGAAGCTAGCAAGGACAGGACCCCCAGAGGGGTCTGCTAGGGAGACTGCAACCAGCCGATTGAGCGGCGTAAGAGTGGTGCGGTCTCGAAAGAAGGAGCGGGACGCACCCGAGTCCAGGGTGAAGGTGTGGAAGGCCTGAGCCGACGTAGTACCTGAGAGAGCAGACTCACCAGCACCTGGAGCGGCAGACGCACTGGCACCTGGGGCAGCAGACGCACTAGCACCTAGAGCAGCAGTCTCACCAGCACCTTGCGCAGCAGCCTCAATGCCCGGGTCAGGCGGTACACACTGGTAACAGGCACCCTCAACACTATCAGCAATAGCATACATGGCAGCAAGAATAGCATCAAAGTCAAGATTAAAGATGGCAACCCCGGCCTTAGCCAGATCTCCCCAGCGAGGGATCTCTAACGCCTCAGGGAAATGGCGACACCACGCGTCTATCAAACGACCAAAGCAGCGCTGGGTGGAGTGCGGACCCCCGCACTGCTCACCAGTGCTGTCGCCGGAACGGAGAACGTAAAAGCAAGGACCAAAACCCCCACCGCGGTGGCGTGAACTGTACCACTGACAAAGCTGCTGAGGGGACAGGGTCACACCACTCCGCTGCTGCTGCTGGTGGTGACCACCACCAGCGCCACTCCTCGACGCAGAGTCGCGACTCGCTCCACCACCGCCGCCGCCTCCGCCGCCTCCGCCACCTCCTCCACCTCCGCCTCCTCCACTACCTACGCCACCTCCTCCACCTCCGCCTCCTCCACTACCTTCACTACCTCCTCCACCTCCGCCTTCTCCACTACCTCCGCCGGGAGGGAGAACACCCCTCAAAGACGGAGGTGCGAGGGTCACCACGAGAGGCTCCTACAGCGACTATGCTCTTCTCTATCGCTAGGAGGGCCTTCTCGAGGAGGTCAACGGTGAGAGTGGTGGGGCAAACAGAGAGGAAGTGGTCCCTGACTACACGGAGAGAGTCAGGGAGACAGGTGACTATGTAGTCGAGGGTGATGTACATGGGGGGGGGGGGTTCTTGGCGCAGAACTCAGCAGGAAGCGCAGCGCGGTAGCGAGTGTCACTAGTGCGGAGGTGCGTAATGAGGTCAGCGACAGTGGGAAAGGCAGTAAGGTCAGGGAAGAGGTACGGTAGCATGAGGCGGCTCAGTGCAGCAGTGGCAGGGGAAGAGTAGCGTGCAACTACAGCGTCGTACAAGGTCTGAGCACTCTTGTACTGGCTAAAGTGTGCACGCTCAGTGGTCGGTAAGTGGCGGCGCACAGCAAGGCGAGCAGCAGCGTCATGTGTGGCCCACTGTGAGCGAACAGTGGCGTCAGCATCAGCAGCAGGGGCAGGGGAGGCACCAGAAGTGAGGTCAAACAGGGAGAGACCGTCTCCCCTATCGCACTGCAGGAAAAGCTGCAGATCATCTACCCAGACCTCAAAGTCCACTGCCCGACCCTCAGCATCAAAGGTGAGAACGCTAGGGGAAGCCATAACAGCAGGAGGCAGGGCAGTGCAGTGGCGGAGACTGTGCTCTTACCAGGTAGGTGGAGCGATCGGGCTGCTCGGCGGCTCGGCTGTCGGGCGACTCGGCTACAGGGCGGCTCGGCTGCTGGGCGGCTCGGCTGCTGGGTGGCTGGGCGGCTCGGCTGTCGGGCGGCTCGGCTGCTGGGCGGCTCGGCTGCACGGTGCTGGGCGGCTCGGCTGTCTGGCGGCTCGGCTGCCGGGCGGCTCGGGAGGTCGGGCGGCTCAGGTGGCCGGCGGTTCGGCTAGTCGGCGTTGCGGGCGCTGGGAGGCGGGGTCTCAGGTGGTGGCAAGGTCGCAGGTGGCGGCGGGCCGCAAGGGTGGGCGGGGCCGCGGTGGCAACGGGGCCGAAGTGGGGCCTAAGTGGGGCTGTAGAGGGGCCGACGGGGCCGAAGTGGGGCCGTAGCGGGGCTGCAGCGGGACCTAAGCGGGGCTGTAGCGGGGCTGTAGCTGGGCCGTAGTGGGGCCGACGGGGCCGTAGCGGGGCCGTAGCGGGGCCTAAGCGGAGCCGACGGGGCCGTAGCGGGGCCGTAGCGGGGCCTAAGCGGGGCCGTAGCGGGGCCGACGGGGCCTAAGCGGGGCCGTAGCGGGGCCGACGGGGCCTAAGCGGGGCCGTAGCGGGGCCGACGGGGCCTAAGCGAGGCTGTAGTGGGGCCAACGGGGCTGACGGGGCCGTAGCGGGGCCGTAGCGGGGCCTAAGCGGGGCCGTAGCGGGGCCGACGGGGCCTTAAGCGGGGCCGACGGGGCCTAAGCGGGGCCGTAGCGGGGCCGTAGTGGCCTAAGCGAGTCCGTAGAGGGCGACTCGAGGGGCAGTTAGGGCGGCCAATAGGGGCTTGTAAGGCGGCTCGAGGCGCTACTCGGGTTAGTAGCTAAGGGCGCTCCGGGCAGGGAAGGAAAAAAAAGTTCGTGGTGGGCCCTAGGCAGTATTCCCACTCGAGAACCTGCTCGATACCATGACGAGAAGTGAGAATGGAATGAATGCACTATGAAACAGTTTGGTACAAGTACTAACCCTAATTGGGTTGTACCCCTTATGGGCTACCCCACTACAGCCTACACAAATGTGTAAGCTATAATGTTCTGACAGAGTCTTCATTAAAGCATCTTTGAAAGATAACTTTAACGAATTCTGTTTGTTTCCGGGGTCGAATTGGAGAGTTCCCGTCTTGGTCCAGTCTGTTTTTGCGGAGATTTTCTTTTCCTCGGCGAATCCCTCTGTCAAATTTCTGTCAAGGGGCTCGGGATTTCGCCCCTGATTCTCCAAATCTCGCGCCCAATGCTGTCGTTCAATTTCGATTCGGTCCAGATTGCGCTGGTGCTTTCGGATCTGCTTTTCCTTGCCAGCACGATGCGCAATCACTGGCGAGATCTGTTTTTTTACTTTTTGTCTTTAGTTTTGCCACTCCTACGAGCTCAGAATGCCGTACGTGCAGATTTTATGTCAAAATAGTCGGAAATCGATGTCCATTTCCGCCGCAAAAATCGCAAATCGTTTTGTTTTTTGCAGGACGTGACTTCGCGTCAAATTTGTCGACTTCCATGGGGTCGGCGAACGTGGTTGAAGCCGAGCGATCTCCTTGTCGTGATCTGACGACATGGGGTCGTCGTGTTCCGGCGTTGACAAAGTCAAAACGCTTCGCGGCCGATACGATCTCGCTGAAGCTGCTGCAATTCGCTGCTGCAGCCTGGCGGCAAATGTCGGTTTTCAACCCCGCGATGTAGGACTGAATTTTTTCACCCTCAGTAATGTCGAGAATGCGATTATAAAATTCTTCCATCGGCTACGTGTACTGCGCGACACTCCCGTATTGCCGATGATGATGTAATTTTTCGCGCGCAATATAAGTGGAATTAATCGGCTCCAAACGTTTGAGCAGGTCTGCCCGGAACTGCTGCCACGTGGCTTCGCCTTGGAAAATCCTATTGTTGCTTCCGAGCCACTCAAGAGCTTGACCGCGCATCAACGTTGTCGCGAGACAATTTTTTTCGCCGTCGTATTCCGTCGTCGACCATCCTATCGCCGCAAAATAAATTTCAATCGTTGCGAGCCATCGCCTGACGTCGGATTTCCTGTCGCTGGGGTCGAACGATTCCGGCGAGCAAAGTTTCGGAGCCTCAAACTGACGCTGCGACTGCTGCGAAGTCGCCGAAGCAGGAATGTTCATGGACAAGAGGAGCTGCGAAATGCGCTGCAGTTCATTTCGCAGCTGCTCGTTCTTCAATCGCGACCGTTCGGTAGTCGCTCACATCTCCGCTTCCATTTTGGCGATTTGCGCGAAGAGCTGCTGCGTAACGTCGTTGGTCGCCGGCAAACCCATCCTGTTCAGAAACCACGCAAGGGGGTTAATTCAAAAAACGCGGAACTGGTGCTTACCAAAAATCGGCGTCGAATTGGTCGCCCTCGGCGGGTTTTTGAGGCGATTTTTTCAGCAACCGCTGCTTAGCCGAGAGTTGTCGAGTGAGAACGGCTCTGATTATCAAGTGTCTGAGAAGAAACGAGAATGAATGAACTATGAATGAACTGAGTACAAGTACTAACCCTAATCGGGTGTCAAATTATAATATTGTGAACGCTATAGTGGGGTAGCCCATATGGGGTACACATTTCTAGGGTTGCATATTTGTATCACTTCCATTCCTTAGTCATTCATTCTCGTTCTACTTTTCTCATGGTATCGAGCAGGTTCCCCCTTGGGAACTGTGTCTAGGGCCCACCACATCGAGTTTCAATTTTTTTTTTCTCTCCTGCTCGAAGCGCGCTCCGCCCGAGTCGCGCTACGGGCTCTCACCTCGCCGAGCCGCCCTAGCGCCCCCCCCCCCCCCCCCCTACGCCCTAGCGCCCCCTTCCCCTAGCGGCCCCGCCACCCTTCGTTTCGGCCCCGCAGCCCTTTAGTGCGGCCCCGCCGCCCGTCACAGCGGCCCCGTCGCCCCGCATCGCGGCCCCGCCGCCCGTCTCCGCAGCCTCGCCGCCCGTCGCTGCGGCCCCACCCCTACTCAGCGGCCCCGCCGCCCTTCTGCTCAGCGGCCCCGCTGCCCTACTCAGCGGCCCCGCCGCCCTTCTCCTCAGCGGCCCCGCCGCCCTACTCAGCGGCCTTGCCGCCCTACTCAGCGGCCCCGCCGCCCTTCTCCTTAGCGGCCCCGCCGCCCTACTCAGCGGCCCCGCCGCCCTTCTCCTCAGCGGCCCCGCCGCCCTACTCAGCGGCCCCACCGCCCTTCTCCTCAGCGGCCCCGCCGCCCTACTCAACGGCCCCGCCGCCCTTCTCCTCAGCCGCCCCTCGCACCAGCGGCCTTGCCGCCCTACACCGCCCGCGCCGCCCGAGCCGCCGGAACCGCCCGAGCCGCCCGACCTGCCCGAGCTGCCCAAGCCGCCCGAGCCGCCCGACTCTCATGAGCCGCCCGAGCCGCCCGACTAGCCCGAGCCGCCCGAGCCACCCGAGTCGCCCGAGCCACCCGAGCCGCCTGGGCCGCCCGAGCCGCCTGAGGAGACGAGCCGCTGGTGCCACGGAGCCGCAGTTGCTGCAGTGCCGTCCGAGCAGCCGTGTTGCAGTGCTGCTGTACCGCTGAGCTGCTAGACCCGCCCTGCCTGGTGAGAGCAGCGCTTCTTTCATTGCACTGCCCCTGTCCTACAGTTCGTACTGCTAGTCCACTGTTGTCATGGCTACCCCCAGTGTTCTCGCTTTTGACGCTGAGGGTCGAGCCATTGACTTTGAGATTTGGGTGGATGACCTGCAGCTTTTCCTACAGTGCGATAGGGCAGACGGTCTTTCCCTCTTTGACCTCACCTCTGGTGCTTCCCCTGCCCCTACTGCCGATGCCGACGCCACTGTTCGCTCCCAATGGGCCACTCGCGATGCTGCTGCACGTCTTGCCGTGCGTCGCCACCTGCCTACCACTGAGCGCGCGCACTTTAGCCAGTACAAGAGTGCTCTGACCTTCTACGACGCTGTCGTTGCACGCTACTCCTCCCCTGCCACTACTGCACTGAGCCGCCTCATGCTACCGTACCTCTTTCCTGACCTTGCTGCCTTTCCCACAGTCGCTCACCTCATTACGCATCTCCGCACTAGTGACACTCGCTACCGCGCCGCGCTTCCTGCTGAGTTCTGCGCCAAGAACCCCCCCCCATGTACATCACTTTCTATTATATATTCACCCGCCTCCCTGACTCCCTTCGTGTAGTCAGGGGCCACTTCCTCTCAGTCTGTCCCACCACTCTCACTGTTGACCTCCTAGAGAAGGCCCTCCTAGCGGCGGAGAAGAGCAGAGTTGCTGTAGGAGCCTCTCGTGGTGACCCTCGCACCCCCATCTTTGAGGGGTGTTCCCCTTCCCCCCTGTTGCCCTCTGTCGCCTCTGCTGCTGCGGCCGACCTCGTTGGTCTTGAGTCGGTCGGTGCGGCGTCTGCCCCTAGCGGGAGAGGCCGCTCTAGCAAGGGCAAGGGGGGCAAGGGCGCGGGTGGGGCTAGCGGGGGTGGTGGAGTTGGCGGTGGGGGTGGCGGGGGGAGTGGGGGTGGCGGTGGGAGTGGTGGCGGGGGTGGAGGTGGCGGTGGCAGCGGCGGAGGCGGAGGCGGCGGTGGCGGTAGCGGTGGGAGCAGAGGCGGCGGTGGCGGCAGAGGTGGAGGCGGCGGTGGTGGAGGAGGTGGAGCTGGTCGGGGTGGTGCTTCTCAGCGGAGCGGCTTCGGGAGTAGTCAGCGCCAGCAGCAGCAGCAGCAGCAGCAGCAGCAGCAGCAGCAGCAGCAGCGTTCTCGAGACATCCCCCCTCCTCAGCAGCTCCGTGAGTGGTACACGCAGCGTCAGCGTGGTGGGGGTTTTGGCCCGTGCACCTACGTCCTGCGCTCCGGCGACCACGCGGGTGAGCAGTGTGGGGGTGCTCACCCCACCCAGCGCTGCTTTGGCCGCCCGACGGACGCTTGGCCTCAGCAGTTCTCGGAGGCTAGTGAGATCCCCCGCTGGGGAGAGCTGTCTAGGGCAGGC